TTAATAACATTGTTTCCTACGTTCAATTAATAATAATACAGATATTCGGTTAACGAACAAATCTAACTGCGAACAAATTGGACAATGGACACTTTACTAAATATTTGGCGTTACTTTCGGGCGTTAACTCTAGTGGAGATATCATGCTTAAAAAAAAGTACAAAACTAATAAAAAAATACATAAATAACTAACAATACAAAAAGAGAATTATCGCAATTAAGTTCGTTGCTTGTAGGAAATAATTATAAATTAGCTTTTAATGGCTAGAGAAAAATAGAAATGAATCAGTTTCCTGTGTTTTTTTTATTTTGTATTATTTTATTATTGTTTCGTTCAGAGACAAAAATTCGTTTAATTGTATTTGTATATTGTATCCGTTTCGTCGTGGATATTTCCTATTGTGAAAATGGACGGTGATTTAACATCCATACTGTGCGTGTGTCATTGATGCAGGCATTCATCTGTTTCCATGTAAACAATTAGGCGACACGTGCTTGTTGCCAAGCAATTCGTTGCGGATCGACAACTTTCGATTTTAAAGCGACTGCAGTTGCCTATAATTTCGTAACAATTGTCAGATGATTTTGTGAAATTATATTATGATGATTATTTGGAAATTGTTTATATTATTACCCTATGTTATGTGTTACATTTAGTCCCTACTGAGCACGCGGCGGAAACTGGCGAAATTGTGCGAGACACAAGCTAAATGAGAAGGGTAGTGGAAGGAAGAAGGATGGGATGAATATTTTCAAAATTACATAATCTGTGTTATCTTATACGCAAATTATATCACATTATATTTTTTTCTCGACCTTTGAAATTTGTTAATTAATTTCTATATAGGCAAAAATAATTTGACTTCCGATATGAGAATAAGAACATTCCATTAGTGGTTACAGTTGCCTACAACTAGAAATAATTGTTATTTGTGATGCATAATTTTGAAAATTATATAATATGTTACTATTATGTTTATCTAACATATTTATAATGCTCTAATGTTCTCCAATTTTGTAATTATCGAGTATGGAATTATTTCCACATTACTCTATTCCTTAAATAATTAGTTTGGAGGTGAAATAGCTTGAATTCCGGTATCACAATAAGAAAATTCCAAGAAAAGTGGTTGGACTTGTAAGGAAATGAACGGAAATATGTCTCATGTTTGATTACATTATTTTCAATTACTTGAGATATAATTAGTATAAATCAATACCTCGTTTCGATCACTATAGCCCTATTTGAATTTTTTCAAATCAAACTATCTTAATTCAACAAAAGTCTATTTGTGTCGTTTATTTTTATGTTGTTTTAAACTCGTCGATTAATCCGGTTTCAAATATGTGGGATATTGGTAAAACCTATTAATCTGCACTATGAGAGGTTTTTCCGCATAGCGCGGACTGTTTGAAACCGGCAAATCGAGGAACTAAATAAATACAAAAATAAACCGCACAAATAAAGGGAAACCTCCGATTATTTATGTTTAAAAAAATAATAATTTTGTGTATTAACCTTTATTTTATGAATGAAAATTTCGTTTGTATTGAAATTTTCAAACCGCACTATAGTGGACCCGGACTGATCAAAGCCACACTATTGTTGTATTTGCAATAGTAATAGATAATTTTTTATAATCCAATACAAAAATTCTAAAGAAATTACTAGGGTTTGGAGCGAAATAAGTTTATAACATAATTATTACTATTATTGAAATGTATGTAAACTTGCTTAACTTCACTTTACAGTTGTTTAAATTTCAATTAGTTTTGTTTGCATGAAATAAAATGTTCTTTATTTGATGTAAAAATCTTATAGAAATGTTAAGAATTTACATAATACATTAAAGAAATTCCAACAAAAGTGGCTTGGCTGATAAGAACCAATTATAATCTAAAGAAATTCACGTTTTAATTGCAAGGTTAGGTTTATTTAACATAGGCTTAGATAATAATTAGATAAAAAAAACACATTTTTAAATTACATAGTGAAACCATGAATACAGATATTTTCAGTGTAAACTTGATTAAATTTACTTAACAAGAGCTTTATTGGATAATTAATTAATGACTCATTCTTTAAAAAAAACGTTTTTTGAAGCTTGTTTTCAAATGATAAACAACAGAAATTGCCATTTTTACGGCTGTGTAATTAAAGTTGCCTAATGTACGACATGAGCTAAGTGGATTGGAGAATGTGAAAACCTACATGTTAAACTTAATTTGTTTTTCCGTCGTGCATTTAAAGTTGCCTACCTGGATACAGAAATACTATAATTATTTTTACAGCTCTCGAATGACTTACATACTGACAAATAAATTTGCCTCATATTAAGCGTTAATTGTCAATTATAATTGTTTTGTTCACACATTCCTTTGTTCGCACGAACGTAGACTTTGCTATTGAACTTATATGACATATATCTTCTTTTTTTCTTTTTTGGAGGCTCACAAAAAATAGTTGAATTAACTGGAATCTTAGAGACTTATGAACGAGTCGCTCCTGAGAACTAAATTCATTTAGTACGTATTATCGAGCATATATTAAACTAATGTGTACGTTAGTAAACTTATCTAATTGTTAAATAAATTGAAATAACACAATTAATGACAAACTTAATTTATTTCCTGCCATGTATTTAAAGTTGCCTATGTTGAATGTAAACATTATTATTGTTTGTTAGTTCAGTATGTTCACGTTATAAAAGCGTATATCAGTTTGCATAACATAGGCTATTAAGAGATTAATGACACTATAAAAAATGAATTACAGCCATCATCAAGCAGTTTCATCACGCAACGACTGCATGCATCCACGATTAATATAATTTAGACTATTAAAACCAGATAAATTTTAATGCTACAGCCTCAATTAAGAAGTGTTAATCGTAACAAACACTCGATTAGTTAAACGCAATTTGTGTTGCATAACTCGTATTTACACTAATGATTATAATTAATGAATTTAGACCATTGGTATTATTAAGTTGTTAATAATAGGAGACGTAAACATATTAAAAAGTCATTAAAATTTTAAATAGATTTTCAAAAAGAAAATTGTATTTGGGTCAGCAAATATTAATTGTAACAAAAATAAAAATATGAATAAAGTCATAAATAAGTGCACTTCAATCAACAATTGTGTTATGGCATATAATCGTAACGATATGGTTTTATTTGCTGACCCACTCGAGATAAATCAAATAATGCTATGGAAAGTGCTTTAAACAGAAATAGTTGAATTGAAATGAATAAAAATATATGCTTTGTTCATTTTTTTTATTCTCTCAATCTTATCATGAGATTATAAAAGTAGGAAAATATGCTTATTGCAATTAATGCAATGGAAATTTACAAGCCAATTAAGAAACTTCAATTTGTTTTTTTAATTATAACTGTTATTACGTTAAAAACTTGAAGTTAGAAAAAAAATATAATTTAAAACACAAATTTTATGTTTCATTTGTTAATTAGCTTCAAACAGTCAAACGGAAATTATATTTATACATTTTTTTTTATTATAATTCTTTTAATAAAATAAATAGTTCAATAAGAATACTTTTAGATAGAGAAGTGAAAATTATGTTTATTCACATTTCCTTGATAAAAATAAGAAGTTCAATTAAGAATTATCCAATAGTATCTGTTTTGTTATAATTAACTTGAAATTAATTTGAGATATAGATGTGAAAATTCAGTTTACTCACATTTTATTAATACATAAATTAGTTTTAAGAAATAGTTCTATTAGCAATTTATCCAATGATTTTTGTTTTGTTTCAATTAACTTGAAATTAGTTTCATCTATAGACGTGAAAATTAACTTTATTTACATTTTTTCACTGAAGAAAATTAGTAATTATCTAATGATTCTTGCATTGTTTTAATTAGTTTTATTTAGTTAAGTGACAATTAAGTTTATTCACATTATATCAATATAGAAAATAGTTCAATTAGCGATTATCTAATGAATTTTCTTTGTTTCAATGAGTTAATTAGCTCGAGACTATAATTAAGATACTTGAAACGATTAAAGAATCCTGATTTATCATGGAACTGTTTAAATATACTGAAAAACCACTCGATTAAAGTGAACGTGTTTCTCGGAGTTTCATTAATAAAACGATGCAAACGAATCTTGGTAGAAATTACAGACGAAGCGAAAATATTTGGTCTATACAAGGCAAAAAATAATAATAAAATGTTTTCTTATCGCTGCAATTCACATAAACCAAGATTAATGAAGTTAAAACCGTCATACTGCAAGCATTAAGAGAAGGAAAAGCAACACGTAATGTTTGTTTGGAAGTGCTTAAATCCTTGCCAGAGAGTGTTTTTCCGCGAGATACGAAAAAATATTTGTCGAGGAAAAAATAAAATAGTGAGTTCAAGATTAGATCGAGATGAGCTGTTGCGATGATGTTTGTTGAAGGATTTAGTTAAGGGGTCGGCAAACTCCGGCTCCTGAGCCGCATTCAGCTCATTTGATTGATTGTTGAGGATATTTTTGTTATTAAACAATTAATTGGTTCTAGACCGATGTATTGTTGCATGTAGAGGTAATAGTCAGATAAAATTAAATACTGAATTCAATATTAGATCGAGATCAGCTGTTGCGATGATGTTTTTTTGAAGGATTTAGTTTAATGGTTAATGAGAGGGGTCGGCAAACCACGGCTCCTGAGCCCCATTCAGCTCCTATGATTGATTGTTGCGGCTCTTTTCGTTATTAAACAATTGATTGGTTCTAGACCGATGGATTGTTGTATGTAAAGGTAAGGAGCAGGTAAAATCTTTACTTAAAAAAGGTTGTCGACCCCTGGTTTAGGGTTACAAAGGACAAATTGAAAGCAAATGCGGTCGCTTTTCTTTTGTTTGCGGAGGGTGTTTATTGTTAGAAGGGTGGTTCGGACTTGCACTAGCAGTAAGTAAAGTGGCGCGCGTGTATCGACCAAAATAGGCGTTTGCAGTGCAGTGCGGTGCAGTGCACCTCACCTAGGTCATGGCAGGATCGTCGCGCGAGTGCCGTCGGAGGCGGCGTCGGTTGCGGCAGTCCGCGATGGTTCGCGCATCGGACCGGACCTCTGAAAAAACTGAAAGCATTCAGAACATTACAAAAAAGAAAAACGCGCTTCTCTACCGCCTCCACCTCCTTCTACTACCAAATACTACCACTACTACCTGCTCTTCAAATCCACCTCTAAATCACTAATAATAAAAGAAGATAGATAGAGAAAGATAGAAGTCTCGAGATTAAGCCTACCTTGATCCCGCTTAAATACCCACCGTCATCACCTCTCTCCACTGCCACCTCCGAAACCAACCAACAAACACAAAAAAAAAACTGCAAACAAAAAATAAAACTAAGTAGCTCTACAACTGCACTCTTAGTTATAGTTAGTTAGCCAACTTGTGCTCTTACATCTCCATCCATCCGACCATCCATTTTCTTCCTCCGCTGCGTCTCGTTCTGTTGTTTACTTGTTTGTTGTCCCAGTGTGCGTGCGTATTGCCACTTCTTATTCTCGAATCTTTGCCAACGCTGCTGCTTCGCACGTGTGGTATGAAGAGTTGGCCCGAAGTTAAACCATCACCAATTCCCTGTGTTCTTCTTGTTGCTGCAGCTTAACTCGAGGAGAGCCCACATACAGACGAGAACCAAGAATGAAAGAGATGCATCGATTCAAGTTCCTCAAGGGCAAAGTCCCTCAACTGCTTGCAGTATTTGCTGGTAAGTCTCAAATTTATAAATTATTACTTAAGATTACATTTATCAAACGATGTTCATTTTTTATTAAACATCTTTTAATTTAACAAACTTTAAATGACAAGTCTCATCAAACTATATTTACTTCAGTGTCTACTTCAACTATTACATTTCAAGTTGTACAATCAATCAATATATGAACATAAAGTAATTATGATACAATTGTTATAAAAAGATTTTGAAATTACAAAACTACAGTAAACTTTTTATAATTACTCAAACTGTAATTAATTTAATTATATTTTTATTTACAATTAATTTAAATAAGATATCTTTTAAACCTTAAGTCATGATAAATAATTGTTAAATTAGATTTATTATAAAGTTACAATAAACAATATTTTCTAATTGCTACTTTAATCAATATCAAAATTTAAAAAATGTCATAAGATTAATATTTAGCACTCGATTAACAATCATTATTAAATTTTTATAAAATAATTTTTAAATTTTATACAACTATAAATAAATAAATATACGTAATTTTAACATTTAATATATTTTATATAACTTTTAAATCGCAAGCTGTACAACCATAAATAATATAGATAAAATGAAATTGGAGGTAATCAATAAACAGCAGCTGCTTGATTTCTTTTTTAATTACAAAGCTATAAGAAATAATATTTTTCAATTCATACTTCATAAGAACAAGAAGTGTACAAATAATTTATAAAATCAATATATTATCACCAATAAACTAAATTCAATAACTTAAGATTATATTCATAAATTATAACAATTATAAATTTAAAGTTATACAATTATAAATAATCCACTTAATTGAAAATTTACTAGGATATACAAACTTTAGCAAGAAAGTAGCTAATATTATTTAAAAAAATAATAATTCTAAATTATCTGTAAATTTCAATATTTCACAAATAATCGACTTATTTAAAAGTCGAAGTTTTGAAATTAACTACAGTTAAAATGAAAATAACTTAAAGTTACATTTAAAATAATTGTAAAATTTAAATTTGCGCTAAACAATTGACAAAATTAGTTGACTTATATTTTTTAACAAACATTAGTTAAATAATTGCAAGTTGTTTAAAAAAATGTAATCATTTGACTAATGGGAGATGTAAAATTATTAAACAATCTTTTAAAAAGGTATAATTAAATTTTTATATTACCAAAGATCCTCATCGAATGGAAATTAGAAATCAATTTGTTTTGGTAACATCCGCGCTCGATTTTGATTTTTTTTATTGGCACACATCTCTCTCTCTTTCTCTCCGCAAATATTAATTATTCTTTTCCTTTCTTCTCATATTTGTACATATCTATCTTCTTAGCTGTCCTCAATTTGAACTCTTTAATTATTAGTTTACAAAAGCAAAAAAAACATTTATTTTCACCAATATCTTTATGATCGATTTCTATTGGAATTCATTAACGTTTTTGTATTAGAATACAAACAAAAATTATATTTCGTTCATTTTTTTTATACATATATTTTTATTGGAATTCTTCATAATTTTATGAATAAAGAAATACTATATTTGGATTTGTACTTTACAACAGTTTTCATATCAAAATCAACTTTTTGTGTTTCTTTTTTGTAGTTTCAATTAAAAAGTTTCTGCAAAAAAAAAATGAAAATACAAATATCAATTTGATCGACTTTTATTGGAATTCTTTAACATTTTATACATTCATTTCCTGCATAATTTTCGACTATTTTATCCAATTTCTTTGAAATGTTTTTGAAATTAATACACTTATTATATTAATTAATACTTTTAATTGGAATTCTTTAAAAATTTATAAATATAAACAAAAAAAATCCTTAATTAATTTATCCTGTTATAAGTTTGTTTTTGCAATTATTTATTTGTTAAAATCAATTTCTTTTCTACTTTACAAACAAAATTTAAAACAATTTATCTTCTGTTTTTAATAAGAATTAATTAACTTTTTATGAATACAAAAAATAATCAATTTCTTGTCTATTTTCCGACTATTATTTACCAAAATAAAAAAAACCTCTTTTTCTATAGGAATTCATTAACATTTTATAAATACAAAACACAAATTTTATTTCTTGTCCACATTTCGTCTATTTTCCAACGAAATTGACTTTTAATTAATAGTTTGTTCGATAGCAAAATCAAAATACTTTTCGATAGATTTTCTATTCTATATAACTTTGTACTTTTCGATTGTTATAAAAGGAAATTGAAACCAATTTATCCTATTTTTGGTTTTGTTGTTGCAATAAATTCACTTTTTAATTAATTAACAAATTTTAATTGGAATTCTTCAACATTTTATACGCAAAACAAAAAATCAATTTCCTGTGTAATTTTCGACTATTACTAAACGTAATTAAAACCAATTTATACAATTATTTCTTTGTTTCAATTAATTATTAGTTTCGGAAAGCAAAAACAAAATATTTCTATCAATAAGTTACATTTTTTTTTATAAACACAAAATAAATTCCATTTTTAACGAATTCGAACCAATTCATTTTATTTTTATGCAATTTAGTTTTTAATTATTATAATTATATAAAATTACAACAATTTTTGTTCCATTTTTATTGGAATTTTGTAACACTAAATTCAACTTTAAATGTATTTCCTTCGTACTTTTTAACTATTTTTAAACAAAAATAAAACTAATTTACCCATTTTATTTCAAATAATATACTTTTAATTATTTTCTGAAAAGAAAGATGAAAAAACTTTTCACAAACAACTTTTATTGGAATTCTTTAAAATTTTATACATTTAATGAAAATATCCTGCATATTTTTCAACTCTATTTCAATCAAATAAAATAAACATTTTCAAACGCGAAAACATTTGTTTTTTGTACAAATAACTTTATATTCAATTGCTATTGCTATTGGTGGCATTGCTCAATAAATTCAACAAAAAAAAATCCATTCCATGTGTAAATTTTTAAACTAATTTATTCATTTTTGTTTGTTTCTTTTTGCAATTAATTTAATTGTAATAAATATTTACTGAATGCTAAAATTATTTTCTTTTAAAAACATATTTCTGATCAATTTTTAATTGGAATTCATTCACATTTTATACAGACAAAAAATCCACTCTCAGCGTTTTTTTTTTACTATTTTCTTATTTTTTTTAAATATATATTTTTAAATCGTAAAAATTATAAAAGAAAAACTTTTCACAAACACATTTTGATCTATTTTTATAAGAATTAATTAACATTTTATATATACAACAAAAAAATCCATTTCCTGCGTACATTTCATACATTATTCATAAAAAAAACCAGTTTACTAAATCTGTGGATTTATCCTATTTTTGTTGTTGTTATTATTGTTATAATTTATATAATTTTATTTCTAGTTTTATAACTAGTTTGCGAATTGTATATTACCCGGCCTTTCAATGTTTCGTTTCTTTCTTTCCTTTTCCTCTCCGGTTGTGGTTTTAGGCGTGCTGGACGAAAATAAACCAGTTTAATAAACTTTTCGCTTCATTATCTGCGCCAGTTCGATGCTGCGGAGACCACTCGACAGAGCATTCCTCGGGGGAGCTTGCAAACTCCGTATTAAAACTTAAAATTTCATTTACGTCATTACCTACCTATTTCTATGCTATATTCAAATTTTATACACAGTCTAATACAGATTTACTTCTTATTAGAGTGTATTTTCTAGTTTCTAGGTAAACGAGTTATAAAATTATTATTGAACATAAAATATTTCAACAGAATTATCTCTATTTAATTAAAATAAAAATCACCCATTCGAATTTGATCTCTGTTGCTTAATTTTTGTGAAAATGTATGTACTTGACCTTACTTATCTATTTCAATACCAAATTGAAATTGTCTAATTGAATTTAATATTAGATTATTTTACGGCTAATTGTTATTTTTTAAAACTTCTGAATACGCGTTCTATTAGCTTACCAATCACCAATTCGCGTTGCTTAACTTTTGAGATACTACTGGATGAACCCCGCTTTGCTATAATTTGCTTAAATTGACATGTCTCATTAAATTTAATATAGATTTAATAGATATATTAGAGTGTTTTTATTATCTTATGATTGCTAAACACACATCCGCATTGCTTAACTTTTGTGAAATTTTAAATTGCATACAGACGATACTCGATGTTTAAGAAAAAAAAATCGCCGAGACTTCGATTTGAAAACAGTTATTTTGTGTAGTCATTCTATATGTTTTTTGTTTCCTGACCTCGGCAACACAGGCTAGATCAGATAAATGCTAAGTGAAGCGTGGAGAAGTAAAAAATCCAAATATTAAAATATAAATTAACAAATTTCCTAAGTTTAATACAGATTTATTAATGCAAAATTTGTTACTTTTTCTTTATAAATTGAGAATGAAATCTTCATGTTTACAGAGTAATTTGTAGGTTTTGTAATAATTTTGTAACTTTAATAACAATCACACATCCACATATCAAATTGTTTAACTTTTGTGACGCATGAAACTACATGTTTAAGTTTAATAATTACCGACATTTTATGACTATACTTTTATAGGGAAAAAAAAGAGGTTTGTTCTGTATAAACAAAACAACACCTCAATTGTCAAATCAAAATGTTCAATAAAAAAAAACTCGCATAGTGCGTGTTAGATCAATGCGAATTCACTACATTTTTATTGATAAAATTTGATGATGAATTTTAGTGAAATAATTTACTAAATTCTGAAAAAATATGTACACAAAATTATTTGTTTGTAGAAAAACGATTGTTTTTTTTTCTTCAAATATACAGTCAAGTCTCTTTTTGTGCTGTTAATTTTTATGCGCTTTTACAGTTCTCGATTGGTCTGGTTTCTATGAGTGCGGGAAATTGGCAAAACCGCATTATTTGAGGTTTATATCATATCTAAAACGTATATGAAATATCTATTTATAAAAAATTTGATACAAATAGTGGAGACCGTTACTTTATAATTTATCAAGTTATTCCTTATAATAACGGTTTTAATCA